CAATGGTGGCCATCACACCTCCAATGGAGGTCATGATACCCCAACGGAGGCCATGATACCTCCAGTGGAGACCATGATATCTCCAATAGCAGCCATGACACCTCCAATGGTGGCCATCACACCTCCAATGGCAGCCATGGCACCTCAATGGAGGCCATGACACCATAATGGAGGTCATGATACCCCAATGGAGGCCATGACATCTCAATGGAGGCCATGATACCTCAGTGGAGACCATGATATCTCCAACAGCAGCCATGATACCTCCAGTGGAGGCCATGATACAGCCAACAAAGTTCATGACACCTCCAACAGTGGCCATGATACCCCAACGGTGGCCATCATACCCCAATGGAGACCATTGTACCTCAGTGGAGGCCATGACATCTCAATGAAGGCTATGATACCTCAATGTCGGTTATGATATCTCCAATGGCAGCCATCATACCGCCAATGGAGGTCATGTCACCCCCATGGAGGCCATGACACCTCCAATGGTGATCTTAACACCCCTATTGGTGGCCATGATGCCCCTCTTGGTGGCCATGACAGTGATGACCACCATGACACCACCATTGGCAGTCTTGATACGCCCAATGGCGGCCATGGTATCCCCAATGATGGTCTCAACACCACTGTTAGTGGCCATGATGGCCCTGTTCGTAGCCATGACACCCCCAATGGTGGCCATGGTGCCCCTGTTGGTGGCCATGACAGCCCCGATGGTTGCCATGATACCACCAATAGTTGTCAACTCCCATATTGATGGCCATGACACCCCTACTGGTGGCCATGTCTGTGATGACCACTATGACACCTCCGTTGGCAGCCATGACACCCCCAACAGTGGCCATGATACCTCCAATGGTGGTCTCAACACCACTGTTAGTGGCCATGATGGCCCTGTTCATAGCCATGACACCCCCAACGGTGGCCAAGATAGCGTTGGTGGCCATGACACCCCCAAGAGCAGCCACGCTGCTTCCAATGGGCGCTACAACGGCTCCCCCAACAGCGACCGTGCCACCTTCTCCCCCCACCGTTAGAGGCCACAATGCCCCTGTTGGTGGCCATGACACTCCCAATGGTGGCCATGATAGCGTTGGTGGCCATGACACCCCCAAGAGCAGCCACGCTGCTTCCAATGGGCGCTACAACGTCTCCCCCAACAGCGACCGTGCCACCTTCTTCCCCCACCATTAGAGGCCACAATGCCCCTGTTGGTGGCCATGACACTCCCAATGGTGTCCATGATAGCTTTGGTGGCCATGACACCCCCAAGAGCAGCCATGCTGCTTCCAGATGGGCGCTACAATGTCCAACCCCAACAGCGACCGTGTCGCCTTCTTCCCTTCCAGGTGCCACCGCCTCCGCGGAGGACTTTGTGCAAGTCCGAAAGGAGCTGTTGGCCTACCTGGAGGAGGTGGCCTGGACCCCGTACCGAGCGTCCCCGGAGTTCAGCCGCTTCGTGCAGTTCAAGTGGCTGGAGAAGCAACCGGTGGGCGCCGACGCCTTCGCCGAATTCCGGGTGTTGGGCAAAGGCGGCTTCGGCGAGGTCTGCGCCTGCCAGCGCCGCGCCACCGGCAAGATGTACGCCAACAAACGCCTCAACAAGAAGCGCCTCAAGAAGCGCCAGGGCTACGAGGTGGGGACAGCCCCCTCCCCGCCGTCTGTCCCCTCGGCCGTCCCTCTGTCCCCTCGGCCGCTCCTGTATCTTCTCGGTTGTCCCTCTGTCCCCTTGTTGGCGCCTCATGTCCCCAAATCCGTTCCTCTGTCCTCTTTTCCTCCAATTCGTCGCCTTGTCCATCCCTTCGTCCCTTCACCTGTCTCTCTGTCCCCATATCTGTCCCTCTGTCCCCTCATCTGTCCCTCTGTCCCCATATCGGCTCTTCTGTCCCCAAATCCATTCCCCTGTCCCCCTTTCCCCTCATCCGTCCCCTCGTCCATCCCTCTGTCCCCATATCTGTCCTTCTGTCCCCAAACCCATCCCTCAGTCCCCTCAGCCATCCCTCTGTCCCCTCGTCCATCCCTCTGTCCCCTCATCTGTCCCTCTGTCCCCATATCTGTCCTTCTGTCCCCAAACCCATCCCTCAGTCCCCTCAGCCATCCCTCTGTCCCCTCGTCCATCCCTCTGTCCCCTCATCTGTCCCTCTGTCCCCATATCTGTCCCTCTGTCCCCTCCGCCATCCCTCCGTCCCCTCATCTGTCTCTTGTCCATCCCTCTGTCCCCATATCTGTCCTTCTGTCCCCTCGGCCACCTCTCCGTCCCCTTATCTGTTCCTCTGTCCCCAAATCCATCCCTCTGTCCCCTTTTCCCCCCTTCTGTCCCCTCGTCCATCCCTCTGTCCTCTCCTCTGTCCTTCTGTCCCCACATCTGTCCTTCTGTCCCCTCGTCCATCCCTCTGTCCCCTCCTCTGTCCTTCTGTCCCCACATCTGTCCTTCTGTCCCCTCGTCCATCCCTCTGTCCTCTC